GACGTCTACATATATATATATGTACACACCTATGTACAGGAGCAAACGACGCATACACAAGATACAGAGAGCGGAAATTACGATACGCACAAAAAGGGATCTGCATTGCTGATGATAGACCTAATGATAATTGTAGTCTTTCACGCCTCCTTTATTGAATATATTTTCTCCTTGTGGGACACTCAAATTTGTCCATACCTTCGTAAAAACGTTCTTTTAATAATAATAAAAACACCCTTTTTTCTTCTTTCTAAACTATGTAACATTTATAGTATAGAGTACTGTCGACGTGAGACCAGACACGCAACCTGTCGAAGATCAAAGATGGGCTATAGCTGCGAGCAAATATGTCCTAGCTGTGCTCTTCGTATACATGTTATACACGGACGGTCTAACTCTTGATTTATGCTTCATTTGCTAAAGCTCCGCGCGTGCACAGATACGTACGGGGTTGCTTGTTCGCGGCCCCTCTTTTACCCGGTGAATTGATATCTGAGCACGCGCGTGACGCGTTACACACGCAAAGGGAATTTCTTTGGCGAAATTGAAACTGAAAAGGATATTATTGCTTTGCCAGCTAAATGCATTGTCAAATATTTCAGGGTGACGTGGGAAAATCGGGGAAGGCCGTCGTGGTTCAAGGTCAGTGCCAAAATTCTATTTTGCCACGTCTCTACGTAAGTAGGGCAGTTTTTTTTTTTTTTTCCTTCATTAAATAAATGTGTGCGCTGGTATACGATATATTATGTTGCTTTTGAAAGGAATAGTTTATATCGGGTCCCCCCGTCCGAGGATCGGATGTATTAATGTCGGTGAAAGTTCCTTTTTCTCTGTATGTGAGGCACCGGGAAAATTCATGCTTCTGTACCGTGTTGTTGGTTGATCCGCTTATATTACGCGTGGCACGCTTGCGATTTTTTTCCTCCGTACCACGCACCGCGCGTAATATATTATAGGTCATTGGTAACCTGTTTCTATTCAGTTTTTTTTTTTTTTTTTTTTTTTTTCGTTAGACAGTGAAACAGTGCCTTTATATGGCACGTTGATTTTTTTTTTCTTCAATCGTTTCCACTTGAATGGGTACACTCTTTTGGGAATGTTTTTTCGATCAAATCGGTGGAAAGGAACACTTTGTTTTCGTGGAAACCACGCCGTAGCGATGTTTCATCGTCAACAAAATGAAATTAGCTTACAAAGAACAATGGGGTTTTCATTCAATTTCAAAAGAACAATTAGCAACTTTCGGGAGCCAAAGATAAGAAAGCAATTAAATTAAACGTCATCACGAATTGATTCACCGAATCTCTCTATGCGAAGTTTTAACGCACCCGTGTCACGTATTTATCTCCTCATTGTGCAGCGCATAGGTGCGAACTATAATACAAACGAGCGAGCGTTTGCCCAACTTTTGCGGATGTACCGAGTGCGTAAATTCATCCCGATGACGTTTTTATGGAATTTCACGGGCAATGAAAATTACCTCGGAAGCTCGTTAATTTTTTATACGCATGCAATATATTGTGCCCCTACCGGCTAGATTTTCACGGCAAGGATGTTATTGTACGGTCGAGCGCCGAAATTACTCGAGTCATTCATAGATTCGGCTCTGACGTTGAAATATGCGTGTATACCTACGGTGTAATTATGCAAATGCGTTTCCGATGCGTCAAAATCTTCATATTCAACAGGCGCGCTCATTTTCCTTTTGTTCCCGTCGTAATGCTCGTCTTTTCGCTCTACTTGGTTCTCAAACGTGAAATTATCTTTTTCTCTCTTCTTTTTATTTTTAATAATCACCATTGTGCACTGTATAGTCCATTTCTTCGAAGTCATTGGACTTTTTAATGAAAAAATTGCCAAATTGAAACGGTGGGACCGGAAACTTGTGGACCCTCGTCTTGCGTACACTTTTGTTACACCGATCTATTTTCTCTTCATTGCTAATTTGTACCCAAAACAGCTAATCTCGCCTCCAATTTTTCCAAAAGACAAAATCACGATCCACCGCTAAAATGGCACATATCGTATGTTTTTCCGGCTCTACCCGATATACGTACCGATGCATCGCATGTATAGCACCTGTACATGTACACTTGTACACGCGCATACTCCATTGATCTTCTAAACGATATACGCGGAGAGCCGCTTTCTTCGCAATTATGCGTTTGCTATGAAAACCGGTTTGGCGCGCGCAAGCCCATACAACTGCGCGGATTTTCTTTTTTCAGAAAACATTATACGAATCGGCGATTTTCAGGGTCAACTCGCGTAACAATTAATATCCCCCCTCTCTTCCTCTCTGCAAGACATTTGACTCCTTTTCAGCTAACGTATACCTGCAAAAACAAACTCTCGCCTTCCGACATCTGTCAATCCTAGCGTGCGATCCGTAACCATCGATTATCCGCGCCAACCTGTATTTAAAACAGCACCAAAGGCACAAACAAACAAGAAATCCCCTGCCACTCAGAGACAAAATAAGTAGTGCACAATGACAGCACTTTTCCTCTCGATACAATACCACGGTACGGTTAACTGTATTGTATATACTCGGCGGTCGCCCCACCCACCTTATACCAGGCCGGCTCTCGCTTTTCTCTCCCCGGAGGACTGCTCTGTTTTCTTTTTTTTTTCTTTTTTTTTTTATCAGTGGAGTGCTATCACTGGCAGTGCGAGGCATCGAGAGGTGCACAGGTGGGGGAGATCCCGGAGAGGCGAGTACAGCTGGGGTCCAGCGTCA